GGGCGGGCAGGCTCCCCCACCGCCAGCGCCGCGGCCACACGCCCTCCCTGCGGTCACCCCCACGGCGTGTCAGCGCAGGAGCAACACGACCCTTGACAGGAGCCGCCTTCCGGTTGTAAACATTTGGGGAACAGAGTCACCAGCTGCCACTCCCCAGTGCGCCCTGTCCCCAAGCCTGAGGCCCCTCGGCCGCTCCTCGGGCTCCGGGCACAGATCTCCAGTGGCGTGGGCACAGCTTCGGGGGCAGCAGGTGCCAGGAGAGCCACTCCCCGGGCAGTGACCGTCTCTGGGGGGTTAGGGGGGCAGAGGCCTCATGGGGCTCCTCTTGGGGTTCAGCCAGGAGACCAGGAGGCCCTGACGCCTGCCTCTGGGGAAGCCGCCTGGGCGTCAGAGGGAGCACCCATCCGCCTCCCGAGTCCAGGCCCTTAGCAGGAGGCTCCCTGGAAGCCGGACAGTCAGCCCCTCCTGCAGGAAGCTGGAGACCCCGCGGAGGGTCCTGCTCTGCGGTGTCCCGGGACAGGACGGACGAGGGTTATCCGATGGCTGAAGTGCCCTAAACACCCACATTTTAAAAGCGAAATGCCTAGCCCGGCCGGTGTGGCTCAGTGGTTGAGTGTCAGCCTATGAACCAGGAGGTCAGTGGTTCGATTCCCAGTCGGGGCACAGGCCCGGTTTGCGGGCTCCATCCCTAGTGTGGGGCGTGCAGGAGGCAGCCGGTCCATGATTCTCTCTCATCACTGATGTTTCTCTCTCTCTCCTTCTCCCTTCCTCCCTGAAATCAGTATTTTTTTAAAAAGTGAAAAGTCTAAAGCCGTGGTTCTCAGCCTTCTGGCCCTTTAAATATGGTTCCTCATGTGACCCAACCATAACATTATTTTCGTGGCTACTTCATCACTGTCATGTTGCTGCTGTTGTGAATCGTCATGTAAATATCTGATGTGCAGGATGGTCTTAGGCGACCCCTGTGAAAGGGATGTTCGACCACCAAAGGGGTCGCGACCCACAGGTTGAGAACTGCGGTCTTAGAGCATCTCCTGGAACTCAGGAATTTAGGAAAGGAATCACTATATTCCTCAGGACTCTTCAGGTCACAATAGGGACCAAACAGTAGTTTAGGCAAAAAGAGAAAACCATTTGCTCAGGTGATCAAGGCCAAGGCAGGAGCAGCCGCTGGCCTGGCCGCTGGAGCTGCTTCTGACGGCGCTCACTGGGTGAGGACCGTGTGGTTCCTACTCAGAGCCCAGACAGCCCGGCCCCTGGGCCCAGCCGCGGCCTCAGCCGGGCCCTGCAGCTCCTCCCTCCTCTCCTTGAGCCTCCCAGGCAGGCCCACCGACCCTCTGCCAGGAACACCGCGCGTTCCCTGCCACCAAGCCCACGCAGCGCCCGCCTTCCTCACCCCAGCTCCAGGAAGACGCCTCCCTCTGGGGACCCCCCATTGGGGCTCCACGAACTCCCAGGCCCAAGGCCATGTGTGGCTCCTCCCTACCGAGCTGCTCCCCGCCCACCGCCCCGCTTTGCACACGGCAGATGTCTGACACCCGTCAGTTCGTACCAGCGAGTGAGCACACCTGGGACCCGGTTCCTTCGAGGTTTTGAGCATGTCCGACTGTGAGAAGGCGGCACCGCCCTCCTCGGCCCAGCTCCAGGAGCAGCCCCGGCTCCAGGAGCAGCCCCGGCTCCAGGAGCAGCCCCGGCAAGCGTGGCCTGTGCCCTCAGCCTCCTCTCCGGGCACAGCCCCTGCCCAGCCTGCCTCCCAGAGCTTCTGCCCCTGGGTCCTCAGTATGTGGATCCTGGCTGGACCCCTCTCAGCAGCTTTGGCTCAGACTCCCCCCGGGTGCCTCCACTCCTGACAATG